CCCCAAAACCCCAAAACCCCAAAACCCCAAAACCCCTATTTAAATCTCGCTGCTGATTATTAATAATATTTAAGATTACTCTAATATGAACTCTAATAAACCTATTTTTATCTGCGAGTTTAAGAAATGCGAGAGAATATTCACTACCAAGTACTCTCTTATCAGACATGCACAGACTCATATGAAGACGAAGAACTTTGAATGCAAGCAATGCTCAAAGAGCTTTAATATTAAGCAAAATTTGATTGAACATGAATTCGCTCATAGTGGTGAGCTGCCTTACGTCTGTAATATCGACGGATGCACTCAGAGATTCAGACAGAGAGGAAAGCTATCTCTTCACCGACAATCTCATGCCAATTACAAGAAGAAATCCTACAGATCTCACACATCTATTAATGATGGAGAGATTGCTAAGAGGGTTCAAATAGGACAGTCAAACAATTCTTATAATTGTGCACCCACGACTTCAACTTCATCAATAAATGCTCAGCATACAGTTAGGAATTTAGCTTCAGCTAATGCTAACTTGTTCATGTTGTCGAATCAACTGGGAAAGATCAATCAGTTAGGGTGAGGGCAACCTCTTTTTTCTCTCTCCCAAAGACTTCCCGGTGTAAACTATCAGTTCGCCCAAACCACTATGCCACAGATCAGATTCATTGGAAGCCACTTAGGCCAGGGAAATCCCTCGGCTAACTTGCTTCCAAAACTTAACATGATGATGCTCCCATACCAAAACATGGGTGGACAATACAATTAAGGCTTACACAGAGCGAAGCCTGTATCTCTTAATCTTATTTCCATATTTTATTATTAATGAATACGTTACAGTCATCATTTGTCGCAAAGATTTTTTTGAAACCTCTACTAAAATAGGATCTAGGAGTCTAGGTTCACCACTTTCCTATCCCAACACCACACTAAGTCCAAAAAATCCCATTTCCACCTTGTCAAATCCTTCCCCAACCAATGTTCTCTATTCAAAAACCCAATACCTTTCAACCCAATTTCAAAATCCTCGCTTAACAAGTCACTACTCAGGTTCACCAAGCTTTAAGAACTTATGCTAGTTAGATGCCTATTATATTAGAGTAAGCCAAAAACTCAGTGACCGTTCGGAGAGATTTCTTCTTGCATGAGCTCTAAGAAACTTTGGAAGTGCGGACTAGGAGGAAGATTAGGCTCAGAGGTTAGAGGTGGAAGGATGGTGGAGGCTGGGTGGAGGGATGAAGGAGGAGAACTCTTGGCAAGCCTGGCTCAAGTTTAATTCAATTCGAAATGTTTGCCTAGGGGTTTTGGGGTTTTGGGGTTTTGGGGTTTTGGGG